CATTGAAAATCTTACCAACACATTCATCTGTCAATTAAGAGAGGGAAATAATGATGTTGCAAGGAGGAGGGAGATCTTCAACACTTAGTCACATAAGTTCACATGTAAAGAAATTCCATCACATTTCTTACTTTCCAGAATGAGGAACTCCAAAAGTATGGAACAGATATAGCAATCTACACCTCAGCGATTTCAAGAAGAAGCGATTCTATGTTTCATCTATAAGAAGTTACCAATTAATTTAGGACAGAATATCTATGGGATTTGTGAAGCTAGAACTCACAAGACCATGATTGTTTGACAATACAAATGAAGAGTTTTGTCAAATCAACTAGATAATTTCAAACTTTAGCTTTTATTACGAGCATCCTGATCAGGGAAAACTTAACAACAACGACAACAACAACAAACCCAGCTAAGCCTTGGAAAATATTCAAAGAAAGGAATAACTGCAATATCTTTAGATTTTAGTGGATTCAGATATTTAGCACACAATTGCTTTTATATATATATATATATATATATATCCCAAAAACCAACATCCAAGTTCATCCTAGGAAGTCGATCATCATCTAAATCCTCTCACAAAGATTATGGGACAACAATCATGTAACTTCGAAGTTCTGATTATTGATTACTTGGCTCTATCACAGAGCCAGCCAATTCTTCAAATGGATTAGCTTCCTTTAATATTCCAGTGGACAAACTAACAAATGACAGCCCATTTCATACTTTATGCAGAAGTCAAGCAGATTTGACAGCACAAGCAATACACTGCTTGACAACACAAGCAATACATTCAACAAGCAGAGCAAAACATGGATTCCTCAGCAAAAAGGTATTCTTACAGGTTATACCCATACTTTGCATATGTAATTGCTCTGTTTTTTATCTTTTATTTTTATTTTTTGATTGGTAAGTAATTCTCTATTTTATGCAACCTCTTTGACATCAAAAGATTAAATACGGGAAACGTGACGAAGCAAATTCAGGAAAACATTTTACTAACACCTGGCTTCAAGTCAAACAAATGAACTCATGCTGCCGTGAATTGAGAGAGAGAGTTTCTTTTACAAGTCCTTTTGAGAGATAAAGTATCTACATTATGTCTTGTTCTGCTTTACTTACACATTTGGTCGTGCGAGCGTGTGCGCGCGCGCGCGCGTGTGTGTGTGTGTGTGTGTGTGTGAGAGAGAGAGAGAGAGAGAGAGAGAGAAGCAAACTCACATCATCCAGCAGCATACTGTAGCGGTGATGATCAGTGTCATGTGTAACCTGCATCACAAAATTCAGTTAGCTACTACAGACAGAGATCAAAAGATGCTTGAATAAAATTTAATACATCATCTATTGAAGCCTGGAGAGCTCAATATAAACTCAAGAAAAATAAGCAGCGGCCCGACAAAAATCACAATTTGCATTTTCAGGTTCAATTTCACGTGCTTACTTTGTTATCTGAAATGCCTGAATCATGAAATACAATACGAGTCAATTTAATAAAATTTCTAAAATAACTATCAAAATCTTCATGCTAGAGAGTAGTGATAAAATTAGATAATCACTATCTAGCATCTGACATAGTCAATGACCTGGATATGGATCAAAGACTAGAAAACAAAGAAGCCCTAGACTAAAGACATACAGTTAGTATAAGTATATAAAGGAAAGAGAGAAGTGATAATGAGAATAGCTGATTGTACTAATGAAGCATAACACAAAGGACAAAACTAACACTAATTCCTCTAAGAATCTATTTGGATTAGCTGATTAAAAGTAGCTGATAAGTACTAAGTGTTGAGAAACACATTTAAGTGCTGAAGTGATTTTATAAAGTGCTGAAATTGATAATAAACAATTGGAGTGTTTGGATAAAATAGTAAAAAGCTTTGTCAAAACTCAAACCAAAAGTGTTATAAGCTAAAAAGCCATAAGTTGGTAAGCGACCAACTTATAGCTTTTGGCTGATTGGATTATAAGCACTTTAGCGTTTACCAAATGCGTAGATAAGCTAAAAAGTGTTTATATACGCAAACACCCTCTAAGATACCGCCATCAAAGGATTGCAACAAATTTGCTATATATACGCCAAATTTCTATTTTCTCATACAACAAACCAAACAAGCCCTAAAGGAATTACAATATACAATGAAGTTAAACCCAAAACTATATTAGTAATGCAAAGCTGCATCAATAATTCAGAGTTTTAAACAAAAACTCAAGCATTTTGTATTAATAACTCAGAGTTCTATGCAAAGATTTTCTCTTTTTTTCATACACAATAAACACAACGAGCCCTAAGGGAATTATGATAAGCAAATCCGAATGAAACAAAGACAAAGGGAACAATTGACCGTACAGATTAGTAGAAGGTCCTCTATTGCAGCAAATTCTGGCACATAAAGATGCAATAACTCCAATCGCAACAAAAATTAGAGTCGTCACTAAAAACCCCATGTTCGTCCGATCTCACACTGAAAAAACAATTCTGTATTCTGCAACAATAATTTCAAGTCAAAATTGGTCGTTCGATGGAGAAAATTATAAAAAAAAAAAAGCTTTTTGAGCTGAAATTAATATTAATACCTGTAGATATTGCGATTTGAGATTGAATTCTACAAAAATGGGGATATTTTGTGTTGAATTTCTGTTAATAACAGTTGCTTGATCTAACGATAGATCGATTTGACGCCAACTAGAGTTGGATTGTGGGCCAGGCCAGAGTTGTGTTTGGGCCAGCTGTATGAACACTTGGGCTTCCTTTGAATTTTAAGAGGTAGAAATGATAACAGATAGCCACTCTTAAGGGCTGCTATTTAGAAATTAACCGGTGCGTTCTGAATTTCAATTTTTCTGTTTAATTTTTTAGGACAAAAATAACCTGGATTTTCCTGAAATTAGGATTTTAATTTAAAATTTCGGCACTGGCTAATTTCTAAATAGTATCCTTGAAAGTGGCTATCTGTGCACTTGCCCCATTTTAGAGCCTTTTATGGACCGGTGGGACCTAATAGAATTAGGATCTTTACACAAATAACCAATCAGATTCATTGTTTATCTAGCCGATATACATAATATATACAATTAGGGGTCGTTTGGTTACCGAAATAAGGATTTTAATTCGATGATAGAATATGAGATTGTATTTCTCCCATATTTGCTTGTGAGTATTAGCTAGAGGTAGGATAGATTTTATACTAAACTGGTGGAATTAACTATCCCATGGGATATCTCAGTCGATGAATATCCTTGTCTATCTCATAATATATATATATATATATATATATATATATATATATATATATATATATATATATATATATATGGGGTTAATTCTTCTAGGTTTATTAAATCTCGGGGCAAGTGGACAGATAGCCATTCTCAGTGATACTATTTAGAGATTAGCCAGTATTTATTTTGTCCTGAAATTTTAAACTAAAAATCCAACTTATGACCTTTTTGTCTTGAAAATTTGAATTGAAAAATTAAAATTCAGGACGCACAGACTAATTCCTAAATAGCACCCCTTTAGAGTGGCTACCTAGTGTCATTTCTATGTTAAATTTTCATAGAATGGCAACAATTAAAGCCCAACAATTTGGTGTGTGTGTGGGTATATAAGTAATGGGAAGTGGAAACCCTAAAGACAGATCCTCCTCAGACACAATTGGCCACGAATTATGAAACCTCTTTGAGGTACCATGAATGATGTCTCGTTAATTGCTGTCTGTTTTACTATGTATAGTTTAGAGAGGATCTAACAGTAAAAACCCAGGCATCTCAGAAAGCCATTGTTCTGCTTCTCAATCAGCTTTTGGCTCGCTATGGTGCCTACATACACACACACACACACTAGATCTCTGTCTTCTTTTTCTCTTATTGTTTTTCAAGTTTATTTCATTTGGCGGATGAGGATAGTATCTTTGTGAAAATATTTAGCACAAATAAATAATCAGTAGAAGCAAGTGATATATTCAACGATATTTTGTTCGTGTATTCATTCTTTTTATTTTTTGATGACTTTGGTGACCAAACCTGAATATAATCTTATTAAAGAAAATGTTTCTTAAATTTTATTTCTATTTTATTAAATTCTACTTTATGTTGAGCAAAGGTTATGCAAATATGTCATTTTACAAATGAGAAGGATGCTTTATATAAATTGAGATTAATCTATGTGCACTTTTAATTTGCTTATTAAAAATCTGATCGTTAACCTAAAACTAGAGTAAATAATGTTAGATAACATGTTAAAATAAATTGATAATGCAAATGTTATAAGGTGTATAATTTCAATCCTTATAAATTTGTTTACCATCCATTAGTTTTATTACCTAATGGAACAAGGAAGTTGTGTTTGAGAAGAATATAAATTATTACGTTAGTGGAAGAATCAGAAAAAATAAAAATAGAGTTAAAAACAGAGAGTAGAGATTGGCATTGTTCAATGTCAAATTTGATCTATTTCCTTAAAAAGGTTTATGCGTTAAATCTTTTTTTTGATTTAGTTAACAAGGCAAATTTAGGCCTATTTGTTTTTTTTAATATTAAGACGCCTTAATTTGAATACACATCTGAATATTAAGATGGGTATTAAGATTAACACATCTGAATCTGAATACATATCTGGATAAATTAAGATGTGTATTAAGATCTGAATAGAAATAATTAAGACTGTTTGATTTTTAATATCTGAATGTATAAAATTTATTTTTATTTGAAAATTAATAAACTTAAAATTCAAATGAAATAACTAATCTAATATTCTATTAATAAAATATATAGATTTTTATAATATGATAGTTATTGGTGGTGATGACTAACGGGGCGGGTGGTGGTAATAGTTGTGACTGACGAAGGTGGTGGGTTGGTGGTGGTAGGTTATAATGATTGGCAGTGTTGATTGTGGTTGTTGATGGTGGTGGGGTGGTCAGTTGTGGTAGTTGATAAAGATAAAGATAGATTTGATCTCCAATGACATATATTTTACAAAGTATTTGGTATTTCCAAAAGGAAAAGAAGTTTCTTTACTAATTTTAACAATATATATACAATCTAATTTTCACACACACAATCCCAAAAGAATATAAACTGAAATGAAAAACAAGATGAAATTACAAATAAAAATATTAAAGTCAAGCACAATGGTTGTTATTCACATCTACAGGTCCACCAGCTTGGGCAGCCATAGCATGTTCAAATTGTTTAATGGAAATTGAAGGAAAAGAAATTAATTGAGGAGTTTTCAAATTTTCCCATCCTTTGATAGGGTTAATTGTTGTTGATCCATCCCACCCTATGTGTGTTACATGCTTTACATCTGTTGGATACCCTATTTCTATCTTCATTTCCACTTCTTCTGCCTCTTCTTTGTGCACTACAAAAGAAAAAAGAAGCAAATTATAAGGAATAAAAAAATTTAAATGAATACATTGGGCGGCGTGTCGGTCGTTTGGTAGGAGATATTAAAAAAAACAATGCAAGCGTGCATTACTAATTTCTTGTGTACATTTTTTCAACCTATATATTACTACTAATACTTGTATTAGTTATATATTCAATTTGGTATTATCGTATGTATAGTTAATGCATAGCAAACTATGCTATTAGCAATGCAAAGTTTTTAATACTTGCATAAATATGGTTAAAGACATAATTACCCCTCAAAACCTATTCCAAAGACTTTTCGCCATAGTTTATAAAAATGATGTTGCTCTCTCTCTTTTCTTTGTACGTTTTGGACATGGAAAAAATAGTGTAAAAAGTTAAAGAATATGGAGAGTAATTTTATATACAACTATTCCTTTTAGAAATTATGTAATGCTCTAATACACCAAATCAAACAGTGGATAACAACATAACTAATCCCAACATTTATAATACTAGCAGTACTAATATACCCGATTCAACATTAATTATTCTTATACTTACTACCAAACGGTTAGTGTTTTTATATAGTTTAAGATAATCTTAACTAAGAAAAAGACAATATACGTACATTGCTCTGCATGTTTTTTATTTTGCTTTTGTATGAATGTGGGAGGAAAGGTAAAAGAGAATTATTGGATGAGATTGAAATCTTACAAATATAAAGTATGGGCAATGGATATTTACCAAATAATTGGGAGAAACCTTTGAAATGAATTTTCAATCTTTGAATATTTTGTGAAAATGTTGGTCTTGTCATGGCCAAAAATCCCCAAAAGCTCTTCATCTTTACACTTGATGAGCTCTCTTCTCCTTCTCCTTCTTGGCTTTCTTGAATAAGTCAGCACCCAAATTAACAATGTCAAACACAGAAAAGAATAACAATACAGAGGCACAACAAAAGCAATTGAAAATATCGTCTTGGTGTTTACACCAACCCAATAAATATATAACATACGTTTTCTAAAACACTCTTATCACTAAACCATAGTTAAAGAAACACAAATACTCATCTTACAATTGGTAGGATTAACCTTACTTAGACATCAGTAGTGGCGGATGGAGAATATAAGTATTTAAGTTTATAGGAACTCAATATTTTTGACACAGAACATAGAAAACAGCACGGTATAGCCAGTTTTCGGACTGGTCAATCAAAAATAGCCAGCGTTTACCAAGTCAATGAAAAATAGCCACCGTTTTGCTGCAATAGAGACCGGTCCAGCGTAATATACTGGAGTTCGGTGCACTTGTGTATGAACTCCAGCATATTATGCTGGACCCGGTACTTTGCTGACTCCAGTATAATATACTGGAGACTGGAGCACTGGTGCTCCAAACTCCAGTATATTATACTGGACCATTATACTTGCTGGAACTCCAGTATATTATGCTGGAGTTCTAGTGTACTTATGCTGGAACTCCATCATATTATGCTGGAGTTCCAGCATACTATCCTGGAACTCCAATATAATATGCTGGAGTTCAAGTATACTTATGCTGGAACTCCAGCATAATATACTGGAGTATTTTCCGGGTTTTGAACAGTGTTTTCGCTCAGATTTATCTTTACATAAAAAGTGGCTAAATTTCGATTACTTTTGAAATTGGGCTATTTTTGAACGACCAGTTGTAAATCTGGCTATTTTTAAAAATCTCCCAAATATATGTGAGACATAAGGGGAAGAGAGCCATACTTGATTTCTCAGTTGGATTAGTCTTTCTTTTCCCAGGTTGGCTAGTGGTACTCACTGCAATACTTGACTCAGAACCACACACTATAGAAAATGGCAACATAAAAAACTTCTCTATTGATTTTTCCTTCATATTTCTATCAACAGTGAATTATAGCATATAAATCACAAAAATAGGAAGAGATATAAAGAGAGAGAGTTATATTAATGATATGTGTTAGAAACTGGCTTTAAGAATAAGTTAGAATGATTTAGGTTATAGAAATGTAAGACACACCAAATATTAAAGCAGGTTAGGTTGGTGGCATTATTATTAAGAGAATATATGAAAATGATGGAGTGGGTTAGAAACTTAAAAGAGTGGATATATATAAGTTGGTTAAACTGTGCAACTCATGCTCAATATTGGCCAGATAAAAATATTTTCGGAGGTGGATTTAGTATTTGAAATTTATTATTTTTTATATATAGCGATTCTAAATTAAAATAAATAATAAGTGGGTTAGTTCATAGTCAAACATTTATAAATATTTAGCGAATTTTTTAATACATATACAAGATCTAAACAAAAACTATTAGATTCATATTAACTCATACGTAACACTCTAGATCCGCCCATGAGCATTCCTATAACAAAAGTATTCGTAATATATATCAATAGAATTTAACTTATATGTGTTGACAATATTATAAAGAATTTTTATATATGTTGATATTATTAAGAATTTTTATACTATTAGCGCAATTTAATTTATTTTAGTAAGTAACCTGCCTTGTTTTTTAGGTTACTAACTATAGTTATCCAGATGGTTACTTATATTTTTTAAGTGACTTGATATTGTAAATCTTTTTTTATCACATTATTAATATTATATTTTTTTAATTAATTTAACTAGCTCGGTCATCCTACGATGACTTTGGTCAAAGGTTTATACTCAACTAGTCACGAATTAACTAACAAAAGCAAACTTTGGTTTTGAACATATTATATAATTTGACCATAAATTTTAAAATCTATCTAGTCATCTGCAACTAAAATTTAATTATTTGACTCTATTTTTGTCTTTTGTGTAATAAGTTTTTAGTATTCTTCTTCTTCTTCTAATAAGTCTTAAATTTTATTGGTAACTATCATCCCATAATTGGCCAATTTTGACCATTAAAGTAAACTTAGACATTAAAAAGATAAAAAGGTAATTAATATACTTACTTGATTGCTCTAACATTATAGAATTTATTTGCAATTTTTTTTTTAAATTTTTCAAAAGGACTTTAGATAGTTGCACTATTTCAAAAATATATATTTCTGTCAAGACCCAAAATAGTTAACTTAAACTATCAAATTTTGCGGTCGCGATGAAGTGGTAGGTACACTTCTTCATTCTTAACTAGACATTTTGTGTTAAAGTCTTAGAATGAAATTGCCTTTTGGTCGGATAAATTGTACCCTCAAAAATTGGATTTCGTATGTGAATTCGAATTAGTCTGACCTAAAATAAATATCGGACGCGGAATGGAAAAAAGATTATCTTTAAGATATTGAGAATTTATTGAGTTTGGTTTAAGTGGGACATATCAAGTCATCCTTAATGATACTTCTACAATCTCTTTTTTTAGTTTAGTAATCCTAAATGAACCTACTCATTCCCAACTCTTCCAATCACATTGCATGGGAAAGAGTGAATCCAAAGGGATTTTATATATAATATGATTCAAAATAGCCACGAGTATTTCTTCATTTTCACAAAAAGTAAAGAAAGTCAAAGAGTTTGGTGTACTTTGATACTTATTGAACACCAGAAGTGGAATTGAGTGTTCTTTAATTTTCCCTCTTTTTCACTTCCTTCTAAATTTGGTTGCTCCTTTTAGGTAGGCTTTTTCTCTAACTAAACAATTGTCATTTGCACCATATTTATTTCTTGTTTATAATCATTCCTCCATGATAAGGATGAAGCTTGGGTGAAACTAAGTAGAGGTCCGACCAACTGATGTTGAAGAATCAGCGAGTGTGTTGTGGTTAGTATTTAAAGCTCATTGTTTTGATTAATTTGAATTTGCGTGGAATAAAATGAGGAAAAGTGCTCCTTAATTGAAAGGGTCTTCATTTTGGGAGCTTGAACCCGATATCTCTCGTACAACATAGTTTTGACTTTGATCAGAGGCGGACCTATGTATTGAGTATAGGGGTCACCTAACTTCGTTAACTTTTGTAAAAAAAAATCAATATATGTCGAAAACGGTCATATATTTTGCTTAGAACCCCAAGATCAAAGGTTCGATGGGAGCACTGGTTGACCAATCCGTTCATGTGCTCCTGCTACCTTCAAATCCTAAATCTATCGCTAACTTTGATAATCGCTTGAGTGCTTTTTGATATAAACATTCAATGTTAAATTGCTTTGAGTACCCTATATGAGGCTGATTACTCTCTTCAATACAGTTTCATGCTAAAAGATATATTTAAAAAAAACCCTTTAAACAGGTGATTAGACAGGACATGGCGCTACTTCAGCTCACTGAGGACATGACCCTTGAAAGGAGGGTGTGGAGGTAGAGGATTAAGGTAGAAGGTTAGTGGGTAGTTTTTTAGTTGTTCACCGATAATTTTAGTAGCATGCATGTCCCTTCATATTCTGAGATTTTTATTACGTTATGTGGTCTTGTTCGCCTCAGGTATTGTATTCCATGTTGCTATTATTACTACTTATCCTTTATCTCTCCCTTTTTCTTTTCTCTTCCTTCTTTCTTCCTTCCTTGCTTTCCTCTTCTTCTTCTTGCCCTTCCTGAGTCGAGGGTCTATTGGAAACAGCCTCTCTACCTGCATTAGGTAGGGGTAAGGCCCGCATACAGACTACCCTCCCCAAACCCCACCTGTTGGGATCATACTGAGTTTGTTATTGTTAACCTTTAAACCAATGTGAACTTATTTAATTAGCACTAAACATTAGGAGTACATATTATTATAATAGTTCATTATATTGAATAGATAACGAATTATAAAGTCTGTAGTACATATGTAAATTTAAAATTTGGAGTCAACAAATTCATAATGTGTGCGATTTTATTATATGTAGACATTTTTTTTTGTGTATATACACAAGTCAAATCAAGTAATGTGTTTGGTTAAACTCGTAAAACATACTCTAAATCCGCCTACACTTACAATTCAGTCCAATAATCTGATTCCGAGAAGATTATTCACTATTTTCGAAATAATTTTGCTAGCTTGAAACTATATTTATATTGTTAAGAATATCAAAAAATATACGAAGCTCACATCAATTGTTAAAAAAGAGTAATGGTTGCAATTGTACTTCGCATCGCAGTCTTAAAAATCCTGGATCCGCCTCTAACTGCTTCTAGTCGTGGCAGTTCACGTCCTCTGGTTCTTCGAAAAGAATCGGAGGACTCTGTATAAAATAGCCCATGTCAACATCATATATATCTTTTCCCACTTCTTGCTTTCAACTTGAGAAATATTGAGTGATTTCAAGATTCCATTGCCAGTTACATTCTTTCCAAAAGTTTGTAATGTCTGAAACTGATTCATAAGTAGCCCTTCATATGGATAACTCATAGTTGAAATATAATTCATCCATTTCCAATATGATGGCATGTCATGGCTATTTAAAAAATAGCCACAAAACAAGAAGAACAAAGCAGTGAAAGCAATAACAGCAGCATATCCTAATATGTAATTTGGTACTACTGAACTCACAAAAACAAAAAAAAGAATTTGTGGACAAAAGTGACATGTATAGAACAATCAAGAAGTATATAAATGGTCCGCGAAGCGATTGTGCAAACCAAACAATGAGTGCATAAACTGCAGCTTGAACAGCTAAGAAAGGAAGGTAAGTGACTAGACCTGCAATTGTGTAAGAAGAGGCTCTATACTTGTTGTGAGATGTCTCGCGGACAAAGATGAAACGTTCTTGAATGAAAGCCGGGACAGCATCATTAGACGAAAAGAAAAACAGACAAACTGTGAAGATGAAGAAACTTAGGCGATTCGTTATCCCCTGTAGGTTTTCTTTTGGATGTATAAACATAGTTGCCATCATAATTCCCATGACTGTTAGCACAACAAGCCTAGAAAGAAAAAGTTCAGGGGTACGTCGGATGTTTATAAAGTTTCTTCTCATGAGAATCCATGTCTCTGATAAGAATGAATTTGCAAACTTGGGGCCAAGATATTGGTATGTATTGGTGTTGGCTGCAGCATATGGAGTCAAAGAATCATTGTCGTTAAGAGTACGTTCACTACTTTGAGTGTGAGGGGTCGTAGTACTTTGATAATATTCACTATTATAGGCATAGTCACCTGGAGATGAACTGCACAAAAAAAGCACAAATATCATATGACAGTTAGTCAGATAATACAGATCTAGCTTTAACGCAGATCGGATTCCCTAGGTGCTAAGTTAAACAGCTAACCGAGTGAAAATATGCATTAAACATGCATGCTTTATTACACGACTAACATTATCACTATATTTCGAATCATGTGCTAAGAAAATAGACCTCGCGCTTAACTCAACCTCAAAAGTTAGTCGCTCAGCTGTAGTGAGACACTATAGTACCCCCTAGCATGCCCAAGGCTAGACATCTGGAGCATGGGACAAATAACATGGGGGGGGGGGGGGGG